CCTGTGGGCCGCAGGAGCCAGTCCAGAGGGGGCAAACCTGCAAACCGCGTTCGGGACTTGTTCACCACAGCACTTCGTGACGAGAGCGCCAAGATACTAGGAAATGTCAGAGACTAGAGGGCAGGTGATAACCACGTCTCTCCTCCCACTTCTGGTGTTAACAGTGTAAAGCACTAAAATACACAGTGATCTCCATAGGCCTGAAACACAAATTAACACCTGAGAGTGAGGCAGCTCTGTAGTACGTGTGACCAGGAACAGAAGGCAGGAGTCAACAAACCGCAGTCAGCGCTGTCTGTCACGCTGGCCGGATCACAGTCACGCTCACTTTTTACTTGTTATTTTCACTGCCTGCACACTGAGAGAGGGTTGAGTAATTGCAACAAAGATCGTATGATCTTTAATGCCAAAAAATTATGTTTGGCTCTTTCCATAACAAAATGCCAGCTTCTATTAAAAAGTTTGTAGAAAGAATTTTATGTTTGGCTTTTTTTTTGGTACTGGGGATCAAACTTGGGATCTTATACTTGCAAGGCAGGTAGCAGAACCACTGAGCTAAAAATCCTCGGCCCCTTTATGTTTGACTCTTGATGGACAGTTTAACAGGAAAAGTGAGCTGAGGAAAGTAGTTTAGCTTGAGTTACCAGGGTGGAAAAAAAAGAACATGAGTTCACCAAAGTCCCATGTAAGGAAGAGATGGAATTTCTAAAACCTGACCTTAACTGTTATCCTATTATGAGACTAGGAAGAATGATCCAGAGGGCCCTGATCTGAACTTCCTAGAAATGCTTCAAATTAGGTCTGGGGATGTAGCTCAGTGGCACTGTGCCTACCTCGAAAGTGCAAGGTCCTGAGTTTGATCTCCAGTACTTAAAAAAAAAGTTTCAAATTAATGTCTGCTCTGGTTCACATCACTTCTGTATGACTAAAGATCATGTCTCATGGCATTTGCTCCTAAATACCCAGTGTGTTTACAGGAGAAAACTCGAGTTCCTGTAGAGGAATGCTCTTGAGCAGAAAACTAGTCTACTGGCCAAGGCAGATGGCACTGTGGAATCAGGACCCTCAACTACTGGACCAATAATCAATCCAGATTAGGACCAGTCTGTTTTAAACTGAAACGGACCTTCAATTCTCTGTAGTCTCACATGAGTTTCATGAACTCATCGTATCTTGTGCTTAATTTATTTTTTAAGTCTTCAAATATTTTAGAAAAGAATTTAGGATACTTACAAGCTAGAGGATGAAGAGTTCTATGTGCTCTGGACAAGATACTCCCCTTTCCCCGCTGCTCAAACTAGAAGCTCTCTTTTCTGACTCCCATTCTCCCACCCTACGAGCTAAACCTCACTGTTCATTGCCAACAGAATGCCCTGGGTATCCCTAACCCTGCTCTAAACAAACGAAACTTGTTTCTGCCTAATGCTCTCCCAGCGTCTACACTTGCCCTCCGCCAACAGCCTAGGACGCACACGTCCACGGTCTGGAAGAGTCCCCGCAGACCCACACGCAAGGCGACAGGAGTAATTAATTGTTCATGGTCAGAAGCCACTGACGCTGAGAAGTTATTTGCTGTGCAGCAGGCAGGCAATGGCTTATTCTAAGAAGGATGCCAAAGTCAAACTAAATCTGTAGTACTGGCTTTCAGACAGAGTGATAGAAACCAAGAAAATACTCAGAGGAACCTGAAAAATCTGACACCGTATGCGACGGTGACACAGCTGGGACACATCCTGGACGGCACAGCTGATGTTGTTGTCGCAGAAACGCCCCAGTTGGCCCACCGGCCTGGGAGTAAGGGGAGTAAATGGTTACTGTTGTCAGATGTTGCTTTCTGGGGACACTTACTATGCAGCAACAGCTGAGTGTCACAAGAGCCAGCCATCCCTCTGTCTCCTAGACTCTCTTTCTATCTGCTATTAGAAGGCACTGTCACAACTTGTTTCCCTGTCTTGAATGATCACATCTGCCTGCCCTACAAGTTCATCTCCAACAGCAAACATCTTGTAATGTCATCTTCTGTGGGGGAGGTGCTTTCTTGCCTATACTTTCCCTGTTACCACTCCGTTTCTCTTCACGGCAAAAAAATTTAAGTACCCGAGTTCACATACACATTTATTCAATCTATGTTTTTTCCTTCTGTTCACCCTGAACTCATGAATCATGCTTACACTTCCACCACCTCGCGTCTACTTGTCATCTCTGGTTGCTGAACCCAGGGATCATTTCTCCACGTTCCTTTTGTTTGATGAGCCAGATTTGGGACAACACTCATCCTTCGCCTGCACATCTGGTGACGTCTCCCTGCGCGTGAAGCACAGCCATGTGAAAATGAGCAGAAATGACAGTCACAGCTCCAGAAAGCACCGGTAAGAACTGCCACGGGTCTGTCTGCGCTCTGACCGCCACGGTCTAAGATCAGGGACAAGCACACTACGGCCTGCAGGCCAAATGTGCTCTTCTGCCTTTTGTGTAAATAAAGTTTCAGGGAACACAGTTATGTCCATTCAGTTATGCATTCACTTTAGCTAAGCAGTTAAGACAGAGACCCTGAGGCCCACAAAACCTGAAGTATTTCCTGTCTTTTAACTTAAAATAAGAGGGCTGCCGACTCGTGTCCTGGAGAGGCTGCTCTACTAACCTGGGGACCGAGGTGAAGACAAGAAGCAGAGCAGCCATTAATTCAGACGGACACAGCAGGAGTGAAAAACTAACTGTGCCTGCAAACCTCTAACAATCCAAGGCCAGTGCCAAAATCACAGCCTGACTGCTCACAGGTGCGCACTGACCGAATGCTGCGCTCGCTTTCCCGCTCCCTGGCTGCACCAGGCTCCCCACCGAGCTTTGTCCCTTCACGGGTTCTACGCACTGATGCCTTCCAGTTTTATATCCCCTGCCCAGACTGCTCCCCAAACTCCATCAGGTAACTCTCTGGAGAGATTTCCCTTTTAACCTTTCTGGTCTACTAACCGTGTTGTTCTTGCATTATTAATTATAAGTAAGGATTTCTGTTATGACCCAAGCAAAACTGCTGCACTGACATCCAGATTTTCTGCAGACTCCCCATCCAAGCAGGTGGGAACCGAGCCCTGACTGGTGAGGCCCTAACAGTGCCATCCCCTCTTCCTTTCCCCCAGTCAATTGTTCAGCAAATCCTGCTGAATCTCTTCAACCTATGTCCCAAATCTGCTTAGTACACCTTACAGCCTCCAAAGCCAGCAGCAGCTGTCACGTACACCCTCTGCCTCTGGCCTCAGCTTACTGCACTCTTTCCTCAACACTGGATCCCCAACAGTTCTTTAAATGCCAAAATCGGTTTGTTACATTTTTATAAATCTCTCCGACGCGTTTCCAGACCACTCGGAGTAAAAGCCTAGGTCCCGTCGCACGCTGCACCCTCCGGGCCCCTGATTCCCCAGCCCCGGTCACTGTGCTCCGGCCATCCTGCTGCCCACATGGCTCCTGCTCACGTCTGCTGCTCCATCGCTCCTGCCGCAGAGCCAGACACCGCGCCTTCTTCAGGCCTTTGTTCCCCATCCGTTTTATCTACAGCACTCACCACGTACGACCTATAATACACACTCGCCTGTTCATGCAGCGTCTCCTCAGACAGAATGAAAGGTCCCGGGAGACTGCGATTAGTAGTGTTTCCTTCCAGCACCCACCCCCGTGGGGACAGGGGCCCCTGGACACACACAAGTCCCTAATGCTGTGTCTGCTGAATCAATAACGAACCTGTGAGATACGAATCAAGTTTGGTCTGCACCTTACACTTCCAAGGTATAAACTGAGGACCAGGCATGTGTTAGACTGGGACGGAAACGCTCCAGGAAGGACAGACTCCATGGAGTAAAAACACTTCCTCACTTTGTAATAAATCTCTTCCTTTCTCTCACTTACAGCAAAGGAAATAAAATACAGAAATTATGTGGTCTACAATTTAATATAATTACATTTAGAACCCTTAAAATTACAGCTTTTAAAAAATATATTTCTCATAGACTACTTTTCACCATCATAGAAGAATTTTACCTCCAGGGAGTGTATCTGTATGATATACCCACTTCCTAAGAAACGGCTAAAACATTCAACTGGAATTTTTAAAACAAAACAATTTACTCAAGAAGAACTAAGATCGGCCTTTTGAGAGGCAGTCTATGAAACTCAACTACCCTTCAACAAACTGCCTTTCATTTTTTTCTGTCGGTCTTTCTTAAAACTAAACAAAGTTTTTCTGTTCATCACTGCTCTAAGACTCAGATGTTAATAAAAATAACCACTTCTCAAGCCAATTCTCTCAGAAGGGAAGAAGACGGAGAGGAGCTCACAGCATCCGCAGCGCCCCTCTTTTCCCCACGCGGACACCTGTGAGTGCTGCCGCGAGAACAACCAGGGTTCGGCAGCCGTGGCGAGCACTTCTGCGGCTACGAAACACACTGCTTACGGTAAACGATGCTAAACCTGCACAGCTTGTGATAAGGCTACCCCAGAATTATTTGCTGAAGGGAAAAATCCCCCCCAAAACTAAAACATGGAGGAAGGGTGGGGGGGCAGAGAAAAGGGGAAGGAGGGAGAGGGAGAGAGCGCACGGGAATGCTTTTTATTTTTAATTTGGCGGGGGGGGGGGTGCGGGGGAGGGAG